GCTGTTGCTCTTCGTTGAGGATCTGCTTTCGATCTCCATAGCGGCACATCTGACACATGATACAGTGCAACATCAGCTCGTAAGCGATCTCCTGCCATGTCATCAGTACGAAGCATGATATCATCGTTACGTATTATAATGAAATGGTTGAGACTTACCCTCTGCGATCGTCCTTCCACGATTCTGAACTTCTCATAAACCGATTTGTATGGCATCTTCTTGATGATACGAATGATATCCTGTCGACATCAATTCAAATCCCCCATTCATCATCTCACTCGATCATCGGCACAGAGATAAGACAAGAGTTGGTTGCCCAGGTCAGCTCGAATTGATCTACCGTCAGGTTTGACGATCAATATCGTGTAGTTGGGTCTATCTGTCTCTGTGATGGGAATATTTCCTTCGCTGTCATTCGTTCAGTCGTCAGATTGTACGATTGTTACATCTTCTCATTTGTATGAGAAATCATCATCTCTTGAGAATAAATCGAATAAAACTCACCTCGCAATCTTTTCAAAGAGCTCGTCTGCGGTGCATTCGGATTCTAAGACGACCGTCGTCTCTTTGGGACATCTCAATTCCGTTGCATTCTCGATCTCGATGTGTAAGACGAGGTGAAGTGATAATCTCTTCGATCTCAATGACCTCTGAATGATTCCTCCCTTCTTCCTCTTCTTCAAGTACACGTGGTCCTATAGTAGCATCAGTATCATCGATCTACAACGCAATGTGATATCGTATGAGATGTCACACTCACGCCGTCTCTGAGGCCGTAGAAGGATATGGCGTACAGTGGATCCATCTCCACTTTGTGCTTGGAAGAGTTTGAATGAGTCGAATCGTAAGCGTACGATTTCAACACATGTCTCGCTAGCACATCCGGCTCTGCAAAGGCATCAGCATCGATAGGGTGGAAAAAAATGGAAGAGGGTGGGGATCGAGCCGAAGACTCACTGATGTTGTACGTGTTGGAGAGCGTGTTCAGTAGACTCTGCACGGGTTTACCCAAAGCCAAAGACACGTTGACCGTTGGAGTGTCCACTTTCAGCTCGCGGTGATTTTGAATTTCAACTACGATGGTGACAGTTGTAGAGATCGGTAACGGAGGCACCGAGATGTTCTGAATGTCAAATGAGGGCTGAAACAAATGAGTTCTTGTGAGATTCCAAACTTGGATTTCAAAGACACTCACCATAGTGGCCATGTCCGATCTGGACGATGACAGACGAGAGGGTATGGGTGAGTTATTCTTAGATCCGGGCGACAAGGGTGATTTAGCACCTACATCTTCATCAGCTTCACGATGAAGTTACGATGATAGAATCGAATTGTCGCTCACCCGACAAACTCGGCGCCAAACTGTCCGGATTGAAATCGATATGCCCCGTCGCATGTGACTTATTCCTGCGATGCGCTCCGCGAGGCGACGGAGGGTGAGCGAACGATGTGGCCCCCACGAGAACCAAATTTGGGACGGGTACCAATCCCGGTCCTGCCGGTGCCGCTTCCGGCTTGACAAGACTTCCCATTCTCCTGTGTCCATGGCCTGGTCTTCTGGGCGATGAATCCGTTGATTTGACTTCGGCCAGATGAGACACCGAAGTACTGGCCGATACTTCCGCCACGGCGGCGGCGTTGTTGGACTGACCGGTGGATTTCGTCCTGAAGAGAGTGAGGGGAGAGGGATGGGAGGTGTCACCATTGGGAGATGATGTCGTTGAATGCGTTGCCACGGGCGACGAATGAATCGAAAGTGTGTTTCTTTCCGGTCTTTCTCGTAACGTCGACGGCGACGGGAAATTTCTTCTCGATGTTGGAGATTTCGGTGAAAGGGATACAGAGCTGTCGTTCGTTCGGTGAAGGAACCGGGGCGGATGATCACCTTTTTCTTCTGACCGAGACGATTGGAGTAGAAGCAGAGGTGGTTGTCCAAGATCGTCAGGGTACCCTTTCGTGGAAGTTTTTTCGATGAGTAAGCGCAGCGGTGGACTGGAAACGTTTGGCGGGAAATTCAAATGTCGAAATGGAGGACTCACTGTGCAAGAGCTTCTCCGAGACCGAAACGGTGGGAAAATGGCGGAAAAATCTCGCTCTGATCTTGCTATTGTTCGCACCCTCCGCCTTTCTTGTCTTTAGGCTCATATGATCATTGACACGAGCACACCTCATCGTCTAAAGTGGCAAACATGATTTCCAGACAGATGTGAACGCTTCCCGTGACCAAGACCTTCTTACCCTCGGGAGATTCCAATCGCATCCATTGATCGATGGACTTCTGAGATGATTGGATGGTCTCTGCGGCATCGAGCAATTGCTGCAATAATATGCTGGTCTCGCCCCTCATCATTTGTCAACATTGAGAGATGTCACTTGTGTGACTCACATGTAATCGTCACGCGAGGCGCGATTCTTGTTCCAGCAAGTGAATTTGAGCTGAGAGTCTGGATCACTGAGGTCGTCTTCTGATACTTCACTGCGTGGAGTCATTTGAAGATACATAGGAGAGTGACTTACAACATGAATGTCGCATCTTCTTTTTTCCATATGGGATTGAGAGTCGATTCTAAGACTTTAGTCTTGTGGTCCTTCTTTCTCAGCGTGACGATGAAATATGGATCGGCCTTGCCTGCAGGGTGATCACGTCAGTGTAAAGAATGAATTGTGTCGCACACCATTTCTATCTTTGGGGGCGAGATCTTGGGCTTCTACCACTGTCGATACATTAGCATAAACCTTCAAAGAGGAGAGGTGACGTATGATGACAATGGACCGATCTCACCTGTGACCCGAATCTTATCGAGGAAAGAAAATTCCTGGTCTGCAGCCATATTCAGCCGAGACAGAGCGTCAGCCGGTAATGCACCCCTGTAGCTTCGTAGATGATGGGTGGACCACTCCACTATCGGGCTGGATTACAACGGGGCGGAACCATGTCTCCCTATTTTAATCCATTTCATTCGATAATCTGAGCCAATCTCGGCTACGTCTGGTCTTCTTTTCACGTGCGACCTCGACAATGTTACCAACATTTGGAACTGGTGAAGTTGAATACAGAAGGTGTTGGATGGGGTTAGTAGTGCAAGGAGTGGCTGTGCTTCCGCTCAAGGGCTTGGGAACCTCGCAGAGGAACAAGGAATTTACAGCAACCTCTTGATTGTTCACAGTCAGAAGCGGAAGACATGCGTCATGTATCACCTACGTCGTCTTGACGGATGACGGTCACTGAGACGAACGATTCTCCCTCTTTCAAACCGAAGGAGTTACTGGCTGCAATTCTTGACAAGGAGAACGACTCGTGCGACGAACCATGAATAGATGGTATCAAGATGTTGTTACGTCATCATGCTTCTGTCAGATTGTTCATATCATCAGAAATCGAAAGTTAAAGAAGGCTTTTGTTTATCTAGGAATAGAAGTGGATAGTTGACTCTAAAGATGGTACTGAATTTCACATAGCGTACACACTATCGAATCCCTTCTCTTCACGTGTCACAGATTCTTTCGTCTTCATCCTCTCGCTCAGTTCACTCAGCCTTGGCCTCTTCTCTTCTTCTCTCGTACACTCTGTGATCATCTCTGTCACTCTCCCGTCCACTGTCTTGTCACAAACGAAAGTGACATTGCGTTCATCGTCTGTGTCGTTGTACAGGTGATGACTGTCAGTTGCCATGGTCCACAGTAGCACGCCGAGACTATATACGTGACCACTTACGCTGTACCGCTCCTTATCTACAATCTCTGGTGCCTGTTCCGTTCAGTCTCGTTCCACAACATCGATCTCACCGTGTGAAATTGGTTCTTTTGGCGTTTGTAAACTGTGGATTCTGTGACGGTGCAAGACAGACACTGCAGCTTTGCTGTCATTGTATTCTGTCCTGACAACAATATCTATCTTTTTGTCAGATTACCGCTTCCGGACCTGACTGACCTTCTTTGGAACGATAGCCGTGTGTACAAGTCCAATGGACGTCAAGTAAGACAGAGCGCTACTGATGTCTCTTGCTCTGCTCCGATTTCACTCTCTCTTCTCGTGTCACTCACATGGAAAACATGGTCTCGATGCTGAGTTGATGATGTATCGAGAGATACTTCTGCAGGGTACCGGCATTCATCCATTCCATCACGATGTAAGTTTCTATTGATGTTTAGATCTTTCGCTGTTTCGATCACAATCACCCGTAATATCTCGTCCCAGATATTGTACAATGCTCGGATGATGTAATCCCTGCCACAAATCGTCAATATATTAGCCATACTGACGTTGTCTTACCTTGATAGCGTTGCATTCTCTCATCACATCAACACTGGGCGAGCACTTCTTGACTGCAACTGTGGTCGTCTCTTTGTATGTACCCCTCCACACTTCTCCTCTGCTCGCCTCGGCTATCTTCTCCACAAATTCGACGCCATCGGTGTCTAACACAACGAATAAAGACACATCTCGATCATCCTGCGAATCGTCAGTAATACAAGCGTGATGCGGCATCACCTTCTCGTGTCTGTACACTCTACGGTAGATGATGATTGCCACGATAGCGAAGAGGATGATGGAACCAATCACAGTGCAGCCGATGATAGCGATGAGTTTCTTGATGGAAAGGTTCGTGAGATGATACCCATCGTGTTGATCAGCTTTAGATCTCGAAAGCACTGTTTGGTCTTTTTTGGTTGCTTCTCAAGCTGTTTCTTCGGAAAGAGAAGCTCGTTTCTGCAGAAATGAAATGTTTGACACCGTGGAGACTTATCCCTGGATGGGAACTTCCCGCGTATAAACTCTCTCTGCAGAAACGATTTGTAGTGACCGAAATAATTACGGTAGGCCACCAACGAAGATTGGTGAACAATGCAGATTCGGTCAACAGTTCACGTCATTACATCTGCCACAAGAATCATATACGTGCCGTTATTCTATTTTGCTGCTCACCTCATCTTCAAAATAATTGTTCACAACTCGTAGCACCGGAAGATTGCCTTCATCGGTTGATCGATTTCAAAAAAGCCTCTACTGGGGATCGAACCCAGAATCTCTTGGTTCGTAGCCAAGCGCTGTTCCATTGAGCCATAGAGGCGGTGTGTGGCCGGAGCCGATAGTGGTAGTATGCTCAGCTGCGGCAATAAGCAGATCCGATTCGAGATGGCAGATGGAAGACGGGTCAGGTAAAAAGATATTGCACTCAAAACTGGCTCACACATTCTTCACATTCGACCACGTGCACACCAAGCAAGTCCCACTATCAAGGGGAATAGCGAAACAAAGTATCAACTGTTCACTGACGACACCGAACTTCTTAGTCACATTCATTACCAGAAGGTTCGTGCAATTGAATTTGTATTTTCACTATTTTCACAGACCTCGGTTGGGAACATATTCGTCTTTTCTCGGCACCATGGTGATACAATCTACAACGAGTCACTCCCCCCTCCACACCACCCTCTCACCTATGATCGGACAGACGGACAGACACAGAGTGCATCCGGTGCACTTGTCGGTGACAGTGGGAATGTGATTCTCCGCCGAAAACTCGATGGCCTGGTAGCCAGAATCGTTACAAGTCATGTAACATTTTCCACAGTTGATGCACAGCTCTTCGTCTACGAGGGCGACCACTTGTTGCTGTAGAGGGTCAGAGATGTAGAAGGTGGAAGAGCAGCTCTCACCTTGTTATTGAGCTGATTATAGGTTCCGATGAAGGGTACGGCTTTGCCAACTTGTTGGAGGACCGTCTGGATCTTCTTTGCGGTTTCAGAGTGACCGTTCACTCCGTTCGAACCGTTTGTAGATTTCTCGTTCAATTTCTCTTCTTCCGATTCCTTTGAACATTTACAACGTTGTAGACGACCAAAACTCACCCTTCCATCCAACTTCTCTTGCTTCTCCTTGCGAATCAGTTCGTGTCTCTGTCTCAGAAAGTTTCCAAATTTGGGTAGACCTGTCAAATGTCAGGTGTGAGCTGTCAAAATGACGTACCCATGGCAGCGGCGGTGTTGTTCTTATGCTTGGGAATGGCTCCCTTGGGAGGAGACTGACCGGACCATCCGAGGTATAACTCCGGCCTGGACTGCATGTACAGGTGGGCCTGTCACCCGTAAACGTTTTCCAGGAATCGACCGTCTACAACTCACCTTCAGACCCAGTATGTAGTCTTCTACGACGGTGAAGTCTTGGTTCTGCACGGCCGAGCAGATCTGAACGACACCGGCACCGCAATAGAAGAATTGAATCGAAGTGTCTGCGGAATCTGCACCACCCGTTCCCATGATGGGGTAACCTGGCAACGCCCTCGCGATGGCCGATACACCTGGTACGTTGTAGATCGTTCATAGAGTGAGGGTGAATCACCTTTGAGGGCGACGGGTCTGGCTGCGTTACCGGAGACACCACCGTAAGTTGTTCTCTGTTCGGCTCCAACTGCGGGCCACGCGTAACCGCTGCTGTTGATACCCATGAGGCCTGCCGGAGTCAGAGTGGCTCGTTGTAGATGGAATCCCACCCGAGATGGTGTTGATGGCAGTGACACCGGTGGCTCCTCCCTTGTGGGCGCTCTTTGCGATTTCGGTGATGTCTAAGAAGAGTGAGACGTGGTAAGATAGTACACTCACCAGTGACGTTGGGCGTCAGCTTTACGAAGACGGGGATCTTAACGGCCTGTGATACCCACTCACTGATGTGTAACACCAGCTCGGGCTGAATCCGATTACAACGTTGTAGATGGACGAACGACTCACATCTTGGCCGCAGGCCAAACCCATTCCCCTCTCACCCATACCGTGTGGGCAACTCAAATTCAACTCGAGGGCGTCCGGTCCAGCAGCTTCGGCCATTCTCGCGAGTTCCTACGAGTTCTCATTGAGTTTTCCGTCGAATTTCACGGAGAATTTACCTGCCAGTCCTCCTTGTTGTAAGAAGACATGATACTCGCGATGACGATGCGGTCCGGAAAGTCTCTCTTCAACTCCTTGATGCTCTCGCACCAGTACTGGGGAGATTTCTCCGAAATAAGTTCGATGTTGAGGAAAGCCCCTTGCCCTGGACCGTAGTGATGTCCACTCGTCGTACCCCTGACGATTCTGGGTGAAACGTTTGTAACAGAGTCCTTGTTGAGAGAGAAGGTCTTCGTCACTGCAAAACCCCAGCCGGCCTCGAATGATCTGGGAGCGTTGAATGGATGACGTGGAATGACGTCATCGTTGTAGATGATGATCACCTTCGGATCATGTCACTCGAGGTACAAGGTGTGGCCGATGCGAGACCGAATGGGTTGGGGAATAGGATGCCAGCGTATTCGATGGAAACGTCTACCGCGTCGATCTCGGTGTAAAACTTTGGCAGGCACGGTGAGTTCTCCACGGGAATTCCGTATTGAGCTTGGAGGTACTTGTGGATGTGCCAAGAGGCAGTCTTTCCATCGTTGGCAGCCTCTACGGTCATTCCGTTGCCTGGCGACGTCAGTGTGACCGAAATACCGTGGAAAACTCACCGATGATGTCTCCACCGCAGAACAACCATTCGGCATCGATGCTCTGTCCTATGAGAGATGTGAGAAATCTCGCGCAATCGAATAGTGTACACACCGGTTTCAAGGTTTACGTTGGCGGATCCCCACTTGTTCAGCTTCAGGGGTGACATCTTTTCGTTGAGGGTCTGGGGCACTTGAGAGCCAAAGGCAGAGATGACAAAGTCACACTTCATCCTCACAAATTGATCTTCATCGATGATACTGTCTCCTTGATCATTCGCATCCATCTTGTACAACTCCAGCCCTCTGATGTGACCGTTACGCACGATGACCTAACACACATTTCAATTTCAAACGACCCGCGCAAACTCACCTCCTTGGGTAGAGAGTAAGGAATGAACTCGCACTTCTCCTCTCTCGCAGCTTCGGCCTCTTCAGGTACAGCCTTGATACCACTGCTGCCCTTTCTGAATGCAATGTAAACTCGATCCGCTCCACATCGTAGGGCAGACGTCGCACAATCCATGGCAGTATCTCCTGCTCCCAGAACGACCACCTTACCGTACAAGGCGGGAAGCTGATGGAGAATCAGTGGAGAACGCTTGGGAAACTGCCCACCTGTGACTTGCAGCTGCACATGCCGGGCTTGCTGGCCTGAGTGACGAGCGGAAGGAAATCCTTCGAAGAGTAGAATCCCTCCTTCTCTCCCACGTTCTCAAACATCTTCTCTACTTTGGGCTGGGGCGTGTTAGATACGAGAGGGTCCCAATTCCATTCACCGAAGGAAAGCCGATACCGAGGAAGACGCACTCGTATCCCTTCTCCTTGAGAGATTCCACGGAAAAGTCGCGTCCCAATTCTTGTCCGTAGTGAATTTTCACGCCGAGATCAGTCATGAGGCGTACTTCGAAATCTACGACGTCGTAGGGTAGTCTGTACTGGGGGATCTCACTGCTGCTGAGACCACCTGAGATATCGTGAGTCATAGAGGGGGGAGGAACGGTACCTGCGTATTCCCGCTTCTCGAAGATTTCAACATTTGAATATCCCATTCGCGCCAAAAATGTGGCACAAGAGATGGAAGCTGGACCACAGCCGATGAGGGCGATCTTGGCCTGGAATCGTCTCAGTCGATCTGTTCGGATCGAATGTTTGACGCACCTGATAGCTCTCGGGTAATTGATCGACGGGGACGGCGGAGGGGTCTCTGATCTGTTTCAAACCCATCTCTTTGAAGACCTGCACGATGTCAGATCATCGAATGGGGGTGGATCACGATGGGTACCTCTGTGGCAAACTGTTGTAGACCACCAATGTTGATGGGACCTTCTTCTGTGGCGGCCAAGTTGCAGCCACCCACGCAGAGGTCACTGGTGGGGCAGACCATACCACAAGTCAAGCCGACTGGGTTGTCTGAGAAGAT